ATCCACCGAGTGTCGTCGCGATCGCATGCTTTGAATGTGACTTTATACTGCCGCGGCTTGTTGCCATACTTGCGATCGGAGATGACGCGGTCAACTTCCTGATGGCCATCCATAGAAGGAGGGTCTTGCGATCGTCGGTTCGGAAAGTCGTCGCTCTTGGCTGGCGTGTAAGTTGCCAGCTTCGAGGCGTGGAAGACCGGATGGACCGTCAGATGCTCTGGAGTGTTGATAAAAAATGAAGGGCCATCGGGCTCATCGCACGCGGCTTCTGTCACGGACCAAGGTCCAAACCACTTGGGAAGCAGTTTGCGTTAAACATCCTTTTCCAGTGCAAACTCTTCCGCGGAGACCCAATTTAGATCACCGACGCGGATGGGACATGGTACGCGACGCCTGTTGGCTTGCTGCTGCATGCGGACTTGAGCCTTTTGCATATTTGTGCGGGCTTGAGTCAGCAATTCCCTGTACTTCCGGACGGAAGAGGGAGAGCAGGCAGCGTCAATGTCGGTTGGTCTAGGGAGGAGAAGGTCGGCGAAGATCCGGCCTTTCCGTCCACCGTGGTGCAACTCGAATGGAGTCACGCCGATCGTCGGATGCACCGAAGTGTTGTAGGCGAACTCGATGTCGGGAAGGCGGTCAACCCATCTTTCTGGTCCGGACGGATGAGCGTACGAAGCATCATTTGAGCGGTTTGATGTGCCCGCTCCGTCCTCCCGTCTGTCTGAGGGTGTCGAGCCGAACTTGGTTTCATTGTTGTGCCGGACTCCTGCATGAGAGCAGTCCAAAACGCCRACATGAAACGAGTGTCGYGGTCGCTGACAATGTCTTCTGGTACACCGTGGCCACAAATCCAACTAGTGTGCAGGAGGCGTGCCAGCTCGGGAGCCGTGGAGTAGTACTTGCAAGGGAGAAAACGCGCGTACTTACTCAATCGGTCCACAACYGTGAGGATGCCGTCGTGCCCGAGCCGGTCGCGAAGAAACGGACCGGTGACGTCCATGGCAATGGAGAGACCGGGTTCCCGTGGGATAGGCATCGGGTGTAACTCGCCGTAGGGATTGCGGCTGCGGGGCTTGCTGCGTCGGCAAACTTCGCAAGAGTCGCAATACCGAGTGACATCGGTAATGAGGTCGGGCCATCGGAATCGCTGTCGAAGTCGTGCAATAGTGCGGTTGACTCCGAAATGGCCGGCGAGTCGTGAATCATGGTACTCGCCGAGGAGGCGAGTCCGAAGACGACGGTCGCGTGGGACAYATAGTAAGTCCTTGCCTCTCGAGTGGAGGAGCAAGTACCCGTCGGCAATGCGGTAATGGCTGGCCGGCGGGTGGTCCGAAGATAGCTGTGCAWAGAGCGTGCCGAAGTCCGGATCAGATCGATATGCCCGGATGAAGTGTCGCTGAAGCTCCTCGTCGAATGCGAAGGCATGATGTGTCATAGCGCAAAGATCAGRTCTTCGCGAGAGTGCATCTGCTGCGCGATTGGAGAGGTCGGGGACATGCTTTGGTGTGAAGTCAAATTGGTCGATGAAGTACATCCATCGTCCGATCGTGCTGCTCACCGTGTCCTGCGTCTTGTAGTAGGTCAATGGATTGTTGTCTGTGATCCATGTGAACCTACGACGCCCAAGGAGGAAGTGCCGCCAGGGTTTGAGAGCCATCACAAATGCAAGCAGCTCCTTCTTCCTTGCATCATCAAGCGAGTTGATGGGAGACACTTTTTGGCTGAAATACTCCACAGGGTGCCAGTCGTCGCCGTCGTGCTGTTCCAAGACTGCCCCAATGCCATAGCCGGAAGCGTCCGTAGTTACTCGTGTCGGCAGGGTGGGGTCATAAATGCTAAGGACGGGTGCCATGAGCATAGCCGTCTTAAGTGCTTGGAATGACCGGCGTGCGTCGTCACCGAATACGAATGACACCTTTGGCGACTGTAACCTCGTCATATGTGCAGCAATCCTGGAGTATCCGGTGATGAATCGCTGATAGTAGCCCGCCAACCCCATGAATGAACGAACGTCCGTGGTGTTGGTGGGCTCGGGCCATACTCGTAGGGCCTCGATCTTGTCCGCAAGCGGACGGATGCCTTGCGGCGTCACATAGTGTCCTAAGTACTACATCTCCTGCTGTGCGAACTCGCACTTGTCGCAGTTTGCTTTGTACTTGACCTGTCGTAGCCGCTCCAAGACGGTGCGCARGTGTTCCACATGCTCGTCCAGACTCCGGCTGTAAACCAGAATGTCGTCGAGGTATATAAGTAAGAAACGATCCAGCATGTGTCGGAACTCCGTCGTCATAGCCGCTTGGAAAGTGGCTAGGGCATTCGTAAGGCCAAATGGCATGACCAGCCATTCGAAATGCCCACACCGAGTCTTGAATGCGGTCTTGTAGCGATCCTCCTTGCGAATCTCGAGTTGGTGGTACCCTGACTTGAGATCCAACTTAGAGAAGAACTGGGCACCGCCCAATCGCTCGAGAAGGTCGTCGATGCATGGGAGAGGGCCGGCGTTCCTGATCGTCTACGCGTTGAGATTGCGATAATCGATGCACAACCGCAGGTCCTTGTTCTTCTTCCGGACGAAGAGAACAGGAGCACCGTATGGCGATGAGCTAGGCCGAATCCAGCCTTTCTC